TAGTTCAATATCTTATCACTATAGTACTGAATGAACTGTATACTGAGTTTTCAAACAAGTATTTAAAGTAGTACAAAGCAAGGGCATAAGGATAAAGGCTTTGGTTTGTGTTTCTCTAAGTGTAGTTGACCATCTAAAAGGTTGTTTTTAATTTAAAAAAAAAAAAAGCTTCAAGGTATTGCCATTCTTTAGCATCCTTAATAATTATGGGTGATGAGTTTTTAACTCAAAGTTATGTACATGTATTAAGTTTATCTTAACTCTTACCCGAATCAAAACAGAAGGTACACACCTAAGGGATGTAATTATTTTGCATTTTTGGCCATGGGTGGGAATGGGTTGGGTATCTACCTAAACTTTTTAAAAAAGAAAAAAATCACAAATATTTTTCTACTATTATATATGATCTTACTTTATATTAGTTTCTCTGTAGTAAGGCATGCCAGAAGCCCAAGGTACCATATTATGAGTCAATATGTATTGTACCTTTTATTGGTGGTTAAATTGCATCAGATGCTTGGCACTGCTGCCATAATTATGAAGTGCTTGTAAAGGATCAAATATCACTGAATACTTTAAATTGTTTTCCTTCGAGTCTAATCTGGGAAGTTTTCAAATCATACTATTAATGTGTAATCTAAGCTCTTTCAGATGTATCCATGAATAATCCTGGAACAATACTGCTTGTATTCCTGTCACAGAACAGGTTTTGTAATCTTTAAAAGAAATGAAAATTTATATAATAAAGTTTCAAATAAATGCATGTATGTCCCTTTATCAAGTTATTTTGATTATATTATGATTAGTCCTTCATATTGTCAAATTATTCTACCGAAAGTAAAAATTTATCAAATTGGATTGATGGACCTTCACACAGGAATGTTTGAGTTAATGATAAATGCAGAATTATTTTTCTATGCAAACTCAGCCCAAAGAGTTTGAAATGTGATTCATGTCAATCATCAGTCTCACCCGATACCAAAGCTGACTAATAATTCTTTTTTTTTTTTAAAGATTTATTTTATTTGTGCATACAGAGCTGGGATACAGACCAGAGGGTCAGGGGTGGTGAGAGGCTTCACCAGAGACAGAGTGGGGAGCAGAACAGGCAGATCTACGAAGTACACTGCTGAGGGGAGCAGCGGGCAGGTCAGGAGAGGTCTGCCACGCCATGTGGTCACCTCCGAGGCAGGTGGGAATCGAACTCATGCGGAAGTGGTTTTAGCTTCTCAGTGCTGTGTTTTAACCCGCTGTGCCACCAGGGAGGCCCTAATTCTTCTTTTTAAAAAAGATTTATTTAATTATGCATACAAAAACTGTGGTGTGGGCCCAGAGACAGTGGGGAGCAGAATTCAGGCAAATTGAAACACGATGCTGAGGGGCGCAGTGGGGGGAGACAGGAGAGTTCTGCTGTGCCCTGTGGGTCACCTCCCTAGCAGGGGATCAAACTCGTGTTGCAGTGGCTGTGGACAGCTTCATAGTGCTGTGGATTGCTTCATATTGGTGTGCTTTAAGCCCTTGTACCACCAGGGAAGCCCTGGCTAATAATTCTTAAGGGGATGATCACCAGGCACAGATGAAACAATCTTGGAGAAATACAAGATTATCAGACTTAATTCTGAAGTGTCCTGATACCCCTTCATTATGGTATTTTTTGGGATTCGGAATTAAAGGGCAAGTTTTCCTCCAGCAATGTAATCAGAAATATTCAAACAGGGATTTGTGGTTTTGCAACCCCCTTTTAATTTCATAAACCACACAGGTTTAAATGATAAGCCCCATTGTCCAGCCAAACATTACCTTGTAAATCTACAAATTTCAGGTTTTCCAATAAGACATCTACATTGAATAAATATGTCTTGATAAAAGCACCTTACAGGCACGGATTGTTTGATTTCTTCCTGCAGGTGAATATTATTAGCACATTTAAAAGGAAATTTGACTAAGATGACTGGTTTCTGGTTAAGAAGGAAAGGGTTATGGGCCTGCAATTCGCCCTTTCTATCCCAGTTGATATTTGTAGTAGTTTTACATTACATTGGTATATTAGTCTGCTAGGGCAACCATAACAAAATACCAAGGAGTGGGGGCCTTCAGGAACAGAAATTTGTTTTCTCACCGTTCCAGAGGCTGACAGTACAAGGTCAAGATACTGGCAGGGTTATGCCCACGGAGAGGGCTTTCTCCTTGGTTTGATGATGGCCACCCACTTGCTGCCTCCACCTGGCTACCCCAGCCCTGGTGTCTCTTTTATAAGGAATCAGTCATACCACATTAGGGACTCCTAAGCTCATTTTAACTCAGTAACCTCTTCAAAGGCCTTACCTCCAAAGTACTGGGGGTTAGATTTTCAACAGGTGAACTTGAAGGGACACATTTCATCCCAAAACACAGGGTTTAGGAGCTAGCCACATGGATTAATTTGGGGTATACTGATTAAGATGGAGGACTTCCAGGTCTACTTGGCATTATACTGAGGTAATAAAGGAACTTACTATATTTTTTTCCTACCACTGATAGCAAATTATCCCAGGCAGGCCTCTCTGGTGGTGCAGGGGTTACAGTGTCAGCACTATCAAGCTATTGCCAGCCACTGGGGCCTGAGTTCAATCTCCGCTCTACTCTGTCTCTGTTGAATCCTCTCACTCCCCGCACCTCTGGCCTACACCTCAGTTCTTGTCTGCATAAATAAACAAAAACAAATCTTAAAAAAAAATTATCACGGGCCCTCCCTGGTGGCGCAGCAGGTTAAATAAAGCACAGCACTGAGAAGCTAAAGCCACTTCTGCATGAGTTCGATTCCTGCCTGGCCCAGAGGAGATCCACATGGAGCGGCAGACCTCTCCTGACCCGCCCGCTGCTCCCCTCAGCAGTGTACTTCGTCGATCTGCCTGTTCTGCTCCCTGCTCTGTCTCTGGTGAATCCTCTCACCCTCCGCATCTCTGGCTTGTACCCCAGTTCCGTATGAATAAATAAATAAATCTTTTTAAAAATTTATCACAGGCTTCATGGTTTAAAACAACACAAATTTATTACAGTTCTGGAGTACAGAAGTCCAACTTGAGTCTCACGGGACTAAGATCAAGATATCAGTTGAGTGTTCCTTTCTGGGGGCTCCAGAGGTGAATTGTTTGTCTTCATTTTCTGAAGGTCACCTGCATTCCTTGACTCAGAACCCCTGTCCTCCAGCTTCAAAACTAGCAACCATGGGTTGATTCCATTTCACATGCACCTCTCTGACCCCACTCTTCTGCCTCTCCCACTTTTAAAGACTTACCAGGTGATCCAGTATAATCTACCTTGTTCAACTTCAGCTGATTAGCAACAATAATTACATCTGCAACCTTAAATTCCTCTCCCGTGTAAGATAACTTTTATTTGGGATTAGGACATGACATCTTTGGGGTCCATTAGCTGGCGTACCATGGTCATCTAGAAAAACATTTGGCTGTTCAGCTGAGTGAACATGGAGTATCACTGTTTGCTGTGATCACATCTGTAGCTTGGTAGACCTGGATAAATTCACCCAAAACTGATAAAGTTGCACACACTAGCAAAACTTGGCAATGGAATTCAGGATTCTGCAGGCATATAACGGAGTTGCAGAAGAATTAGGACAGACCTTTTAAGGAAATGATTATGTTGAGACCCAAACGGGGAAGGATAGAATGTACAGAACTGCAGAATTTGAGACACTCCAGAAAAGAAAAAACTCTCCATGAATGAAACTTAAAACAAGAAAAGCAGCAAGACATGAGGCTTAAGAGCTAGGCAGGAGGCAGACGATCAGACATATTAAGGAATTGGAGTTTTTTCCTTTTGGTATTTCTTCCCAGACCTCATTCTTTATTCCTTTGCTATCCAGACTGAACCTCATGACCCTATAATTGATCACCTGAACTTTCTATCTCAGAAGCAGCTGAACTCCCGTACATCCTTGACTTTCTTTGCATCCACTAAGTAATAACTGAATTTGTTGAAAGAAACCCCACAAACTGTGCAAATGGGAGCACTGCAAGTTTATGTTTTCCAATCTCAGTTTTCAGGATCATTTACCAATTCTTTTATTTTTCTTTAGTCAGATCTATTTGCCCATCTCTTTTTTAACTGCTTTATTGAGCTATGTTACATGCCATAAATTTCATTCATTTACAATGTACAACTCAATGTTGTATATTTACAGTTGTGATATCTTCTAGTTTAAACAATAGTGAATTTTCTCATTGTTCTAGAAGCTAGAAGTCTGTGAGATCAAGGTGTCAGCAGAGTTGTTTTTTTCTGCGGCCTTTATCCTGGCAAATAGCCACCTTTTTGTTCTGGTGTAGACTCTTTAAAGAAAGATCCTATCTCCTACTGTGGTCACATTCTAAGGTATTGGGGGTTAAAAATTATTAAGAATTTAGGGAGGACACAATTCAGCCCATAACACTGAATTTATGTCTTCTCCCCTCCCTTCTTGCCTGTACTGAGCACCTAAGTGCTGGTAATAGTAAACAAAAGATTTGTCTGCTTAGTAAGATTTACCTTGAGAAAGGGAAGACAGGTACTTATAAATAACAAGTTTCATACAAATACTATACTTTGCTAATGAGTGATGAAAAACCGCAACCTGGACGGCAGGGTAAAAGATCCCAGTTAAAACTACGCTGCAACGTTCACTGAAGTCAGTGAGTCAGCAGCTCACACCCAGAGCTGTGGGTTGATTACATAGTACCACAGCCGTGGCGTCAGCCAGGACTACTCACAGGTCCCGGGAATACGCCCTTTGCAAAAGATGCCCAGGCCCGTCCCACTTCCCTGAGACTCCGCCCCTTCCTGCCCACGCCCCGCCCCCTACGTGCGTCTGCCCACTGCCGTGAACGCTGGCGAGCGCGTCCCCTTTCGCTCTAACCTAACAATAGGGGTCGCCGGGCCACGCCTGCGCCGTAGGCCGGGGACAGGGGGCAGGTCAAACCAGCGTTGGGGGCGGAGAAAAGCGACGCAAGCAGCGGCGACGCCATTTGCTGTGACCGAGCGTGGGCGCAGGCGGATCTCGGAAGAACTCGCTAGCGAGACTCTCCCGCGCACGCGACCTGCCTCCCGCTCCTGCTTGTCCGGTGCGGACCCACGCTTCACTTGTCGTGCCCTTTGGAGGAGCCGCCGCCGCCGCCGCCGCCGCCGCCGCCGCCGCCGCCATAGAGGTCGGACACGCCGCGAGGCCGCCGTCACCGCCATGCCGAAGAATAAAGGTAATGCTTCCAGGACCCCCGGACGATGGCTCCGCCTGGCTTAGGCCCTAGCCCTGCCGCGGCCTTCGGGTCGCCCAGAACGCAGAGACTTTCTTCTGCGCTTTGTCTGCCTAAGGCCGGACGATCCGAACGCGCCTGTGCGTTCGGGAGAGGAGCTGGGAAGTTAGTCCGGTCTGCAAGTTGGCCACATTGGGGTGGAGCCGACGCCATTTTTGTAGGGCCTCCTGCGAGAGAATGTGGGCTTCTGCCCCGGATTCGCGCCAGAGTGGCTGCGGCGACACTGGGGCCTGAGGGGGACCCCTCCGGGGCCGCCTGACTCCGCAGCTGGACCACTCTGGCCTTTTCGAGAGCTAGGGGAGCTAAGCTCCGGAACAGTTGTTCCCTTTCAAAGGTGCTGCCTGTTTTAGTGGCCATCAGGTACTCCTGGGTTTCTTTACGGGCTGTTGGCGAGTGTAGTCGAGCCTCCTTCCTCTCCCTCTTAAACAATGGACGAAGCCTTGGTGCATCTGTAAAGTTCACCTCTAAAGATTTACTTCCTCCCATCTTTTCATGGGGTTTTAAATTTGTTTTCCCTGTTCGGCCAAGTTTTCTACTTTTGCTTCAGATCGTGTATGTATTGCGGTGGGAGTAAAGACCTTTAGCTTCCTTCCATTCGGAGGCCAAGCATTCACAAATGACCAGTCTGGACGAGTTTGATCGTAATTTCCAAAATGGAAGACCTAGGGGGAAACAGGACTCTGTTAAAGAAATCCTTTTTGTAGCCTTACAGGTTTCAGTGTTTCTTAAAGTATCCTTATGGTATTTCAAAGACTACTGTGCAAATAGACGCAGTGGAAACATTATTACCAACAGGACAGAACTTTTATTTCACGACCCTAAGAAGTTTCCTTTGACTATTCATCCTTGACAGACCAGCCCCGATCCAGGCCTGCTTCTGTTCACTGTTCTAGTTGACAGCTGGCTCCTGGGATTCTTCGTTTTCCTCTTTGTGTGCTTGTCACTACTTTATCCCTGGGGGTTTTTGGTCACATTTCTCTGTACAGTTTGGTGCAATGTCCTCAGGATACTCCACTTTACTGCCCTCAGCTTCCTTACAGATCTTTTTAGTAGGGAGGATTTTTACTGCCAATTATTTTGGGAAAGACTTATAAAATCCGGTTTTAAATGCCATAGATTCCTTGTGACCTCCATAATCCTTTATTGCTTTATTCTTTATGTAGCTTTTATTATATCTTGATGGTAACTGTTGTCACTTTTGTAATTATCGCATTCTCACCTTTATTTCTACTGTGAATTTTCCTATTCCCTTACTAGACTGCTGGAAAAGGAGTAATATCATGTTTTAATCCATTGTCTTGCTACCACTTGGTACTTAATAGATGCTCAGTAAATACTTGTTGGATTAAGTCACCTCCCTTTTGCTGACTCCTCCCTTGGATGAATAATAGGGTTCCCCTTTGATTCCAAGAGGATGGAACTTCTATTATATATTAAATCATGTCTAGTTCATTAGGCTCTTTAAAGTTCATTCCATTACATGGCAGTAAAATAGAAGGGGGATGAACAGGGTATATCGGTAATGCTGGTAAATTGTCAATAATACAGTGAACAAGCATCTAGGCGTCTATTACTCTGATCTTGAAGTACAGCACCGTTTCCCTCAAAACCCTTTGTGTCGCCCTCCAGTACCCAGAACCTTCCCCTCTTCCTCTCTTTCTGCAGGTAACCAACATTCTGAATGTGGCGCTTATCATTCTTGTACGGTTGAACCAGTCAGTTATCTTAGAGGAGCTATACTTGTCCAGATCCCTGAATTTTATGAGATGAGGTTTACTAACATAGAAGTAAAATTGTGTCTATTTTTCATTTTACTCATTGCAAAAGCCAGAAACCCTTTGAATATATTCTTGGTGTTGTTTAAACAAGTGAGATTATAAATTGTCATGAACTGTGTGGTTCTTATCAGCTTATTTCTTCAGGAAATCTTGGCAACATCCTCAGATCAGGAAAAAGGGTGTCCTTGAGCCCTTTGGAAGAGCATTTGTGCTAAGGTGCTTGCACACTTAGAGGAAGTTACTACCTTTACTTGTAAAATTGCCAGTCCTTTCAGAATGTTGAGTGCCTTGGCTGACTGATTCAGAGATTTCCCCAACTTGGGTGTATAACTCAGTAAAGAAAATAGGTAGGTTCCTTGTCCTAATGTGACTTTCGCTGTAGTTTGAAGATCTGGCATAATAACTGGCTTGAAACAGAAGAAACTTTTCTCATCCTCAGAAGTTAGTTTTCCTGTGTCCTCAAAATGCCACAGATACTGATGCTAGGGATCAGCTTGGTTCAGGAGATCGTAGAGACCCACCTAACAGTAGCTCGGAGTATTGTGAGGCTGCCTGAGAACTTGGTTCAAGAAGTTAGGTCTCTGCCTCGGCAGTGGCCAGGGGCACGTTCTTGACTCTTTGGGCTGTGAACTTGGGCTGCTTCCGCCTACCTTTTGGGAATGGCTGCCCTTATGGTTTAGGTTCTGGAATGGGAACAAAAGGCTTTGGGAGAGATGTCCAAATGTTTGGATATAGGAACAACAAGAAGTTTAGGTTGGAATCTGGTCATCTCCATTCATAGCTAATCTTAAATGAGTTTCTTGCTCGAGCCTCAGTGAATTCATTGGCAAAGTGGGAGTGAGCCAGCTTTATGACTTCATGTGGTGGCCGTGACAAGTAAGTGGGGGGGTGTGGGACGCTGATTAACAACCGTCAGTGAGGTGGAGCTGCCCCTTCAAAGCTCAACTCTGGCTTCCCAGTTCACAGTGACATCGCCTTGGACGACGGGCCGTTACCTTTTGTAAAACGAAGGGGTGAAATGGAGCCGATCTCACAGGCATAGGCTACTACCTGTCTCAGAAGCACAGGCTTGCTGAGGGTGCGTTACTGAGATGATGTGTGCCCATGCACAAGGTTGAGAGGTGGACTGCTGTCCCGTTTATAGGTCGAGGGATCTGTGTTCTTGAAGTTCCCTTCCCATGAACAGAAACAAGGATGTTGATGAAGGATCAGGTTTGTAGAAGAAAGTAAATTAAGTTTGAATAAACTTGAGCTTGAGGTGGCGGTAATCCATTCACCGGAAATGTACCGAGCCTTTGGAGACATGCGACCGGTGCTAGGCTGAAGAGTAGGGCTGAGATCTAAGTAAGATTATTGGCATAGAAGTGATGGGAGAGAAAATTAATTTTTATAGAAAGTGGGTGAGCAGATGGTGTGAATTAGGACTTCATGAAGCTGTGATGGGATAGGCATAAGAGGAGGCAGATGGAAGGACAAGAATAGTACAAGTGCCCGTCTAAAGGTCAGAAAAAGAATTAAGAAATGACCTGCAGTGTCACTTAAACATGGTGTAGAGAGCTACAGATTTTTTCAGGACACTAGAGAAGAGAATAATTCTAGAATCCTAAATAGAATACCAGCAGTATTTAGATCTTCTGTTCTGACTCCCCAGTTTTACAGAGGCTGGACCGGATCATGAGAGGTTGTTCTAAAAACTGTCTATCCTTTACTCTCGCTTCCTGGCTGGACACTGTCTTCATTCTACATGTAATAAGGACTGTGACCGCTTTGCCAGTTTTCTTAAAGGAGGATCCTGTCATACCTCTGCTTTATTTAAAATTTTTGAATAGTAACTATAGTTACAATTTCAGTGTAAAAAGTAAAATTGCTTTCCTAAATATGTCCTATTGCCAACTAGGTCTCTTCCTCAGAGGCAGTCATCCTAAATTTGTTTATGCCTTTCCAGAGATAGTTTATATAGATGTGTGAGTTGTTTTTGTTTGTTTGTTTTTTAAGATTTGTTTATGCCTGTAAGAACTGGGGTGCAGGCCAGAGGTGCGGGAGGTGAGAAAATTCACCAGAGACAGAGTGGGGAGCAGAATAGGCAGCTTGAAGAAGTACACTGCTGCGGGGAGCAGCGGGTGGGACAAGAGAGGTCTGCTACACCATGTGGGTCAGCTTCCCAGCTGGGGATCGAACTCGTGCTGCGATGGCTAAGAATAGCTTCATAGTGCTTTGCTTTAACCCTACCAGGGAGGACCCTGGATGGTTTTTTTTTTTTTTTTTTTTTACTCTGGGGCCTCCCTGGTGACTTAGGGGTTATGTCTAAGCTCTATTACCGCTAAGGCCTGAATTCCATCCCCGGCCAGAGAGCTAACCTACATATGGCACAGCAGACCCCTCTGAGTCACCCCTTGCTCCCTTTCGCAGTGCAGTTCAGTAAAAATCCACCTGGTCTGTTCCCCACGCTGTCACGCTGTCTCTGGTGAATCTTCTCAATCCCTGAACCTCTGGCCTACACTCTGTTCTGTGCAAAAATTCAAAATAAAACAAACTCCGCAAACTCAGCTCCTGGCCACCGTCAGTTCCCCAGATCAGGATTCAGATGTGGTCTATACATTATCAATACTTGATAATGACTGCTAAGTCTGTCTTTTTAACCTGTAGGTTCCCTGTCCATCTCCGGGGTTTTTTCTTTCATAAAGTGGCAAAGGAAACATTGTCTTGTGGAAGTGCCCCCAGCCTGAATTCTGCTGATTGCATCCCTGTGCACCTGTTCTTTATTGCTTTTTTTGCAGACATTATCTTGCTAAAGCCTATATAGATGCGATAATTCAAATCGCTAGTTTGTATTGAGTCACTGTTATACATAGTATTGACAGTTTAACAGTAGCATTTCTCTGCTATTACAATATCATTCAGACTTAAGTTTCACTGCCCTAAAAATTGCCAATTCTCCATTTATTCATCCATCCTTTATTCCCTAACCCCTCTTGGCAACTACTGATCTTTTTGCTGTCACTGTAGTTTTACCTTTTCCAGAATGTTTTATGTTTTGTATGTATGTACTTCATATGTCTGTATACATATATACACATATGTAGTCTTTAAGGATTGTCTTGCAGGTTCCTGCATATCTTGGGGGTTGATAGCTCATTTTATTGCTGAATGATAATCCTTGTAAGACCATACCTGAGGGGCATCTTGGTTGCTTCCAAGTTTGGACATTTTAACACCTTGCATTTTCACTTCAGATTTTGTTTTTTGTTTTTAAGATTTATTTAGGGCCCTCCCTGGTGGCCCAACACGTTAAAGCGCAGCACTGCAAACTGGCAGCAGCTGCCCCGGTGTGAATTCAAACCCCCTGTACCCACATGGCGTGGCAGACCTCTCCTGCTTTGCCCTCTGCTCCCCACTCTGTCTCTGGTGAATCCTCTCACCACCCTGCATCTCTGGTCTGTAAATAAATGTTTTTTTTTTTAAATGGATAAATAGATAAATAAAATAACAAAAAATATTTATTTATGTATGCATGCAGAACTGGGGTACAGGCCAGAGGTGCAAGCGCAGTGAGTGGATTCACCAGAGACAGAGTGGGGAGCAAGAATGGTTTTAGCTTTGTAGTTCTGTGCTGTAACCCTCTGCGCCACCAGGGAGGGCCCACTTCATATATTTTGCTCTTGTGTCCTACAGCTAGCTATAGGATAAATTAAAACTCCCAGGGTTGGCAGAGCTGTTGCTTTCCCTCTGCTACCACCAAATCAGTCAATTCAGTGCCAGCTTTAACTTTATCCGCTCCCTGAACTCCTCCCAGTCACCTCTTTCTTGCACTCAGACTTCATGGGAGAATCAGGTACAAGAGGAATATGCCTTTTTTTTTTTTTTTTTTTTTTTTTTAGATTTTTAAGTTTATTTTTGCATCCAAAACTGGGGTACAGGCCAGAGGTGCAGGGGTGGTGAGAGGATTCACTAGAGACCGTGGGGAGCAGAACAGGAAGATTGACGAAGTACACAGCTGAGGGGAGCAGTGGGCGGGTCAGGAGAGGTCTGCACCATGTGGGTCACCTCTGGGACGGGGATTGAACTCGTGCTGAAGTGGCTGCAGCTCGCTTCTTAGTGCTGCTCTTTAACCTATCACGCCACCAGAGAGGGCCTTGTGGCACTTCTATAAACTATTAAGAACCATTGTCTCTATACCTCGACCCTTGAGCACCACTATAAACAGGTTTACTAGGTCGTGTACTCAGTCGAGTGGCCAGTAGCATTATCATGCATGTGGTTTGGACATTGAATGTAGATGTCTTCAGAAAGGGATTGGTATACTTCGTAGAACATCAATATCTGCTTTTAGTTGGTTGGTTTGTATTTTATGTTCAATCAATCTCAAAATGAATTTCCAAGGAGAGTAAGGGAATGACTATGTTTAATATGATTGGAAATTGAAAATGACTGAATGACCAAATTAGGTGTATTTTTAAATTTAAGTGACTTTTTAAAAAGTTTTATAACCCCTAGTTTAGTTTGTTTTCATAATATTTTGCAGATAATTAATATCTTTTTCTTTCATTAAACCTATTAGGTAAAGGAGGTAAAAACAGACGCAGAGGTAAGAATGAGAATGAGTCTGAAAAAAGAGAGTTGGTGTTCAAAGAAGATGGGCAAGGTAAGTGATTTTGTCCGTTAGGTTTCTTTTGCTAGTCATCTTTTAAACATGAAATTTCACTTTTCAATATAAATTCATAATCTTGAGCAGTGAGTCACATGTCCTTTTACCTTTTCTCCTCCACACTTCCCAGAACCTTTCTTAGTAATCTTTGCTTGCTATGCAGTGCTTGATGGGGGGAGTCCCACAGTCAAAGGAGTAACCCCTTCAGCCCTAGGCTTGGCCCTGGGGAGAGAGGCCACCTGAGGGGAAAGAAGCACAAAACGCTCTGCAGCAAGCTCAGGGTAAAGGGCACGCGGTGGGGAACTTGACTCCGTCGCGCAGGCCCAGGGCAAGAGGGCTGGCCCTGAAGCCACAGAGCCGCTTGGATTCCCTCGCTGCCTTTGCGGCGGCTGCTGCGTAATTTCAGAGGCCCTGGGCTGGTAGGCGCAGCAGAAAGCCTTTCACCTCACCACTTTCCTTGACAAAGTCCCTCTGCTTTTTCATATTCTTCTGGTGGCCAATCTCCTGTGCTGGTTGCCACTGGTCACGGCGAAAGCTTCTCCGTGTGGATATTTTTTTCTTTGTTGATCTCTGTTAAGTAAGTTACAGAGAAATTTGTAGTAAGAGAAGCATGTGTTCCTGACTCAGTTAGCCACAAGAATTCCATGCGGTACAGATGCCTTACTTATTTTCCCCAGGAAGACCTGTAGCACTAGACTTTGAGGAAGAGAATGCCCACTTTCTGACTCAGTGAAATTTGTTATAGCTGGGCCCTCTCTGGTGGCCCATTGGGTTAAGATGCAGCACTGCCTCAGCCACTTCAGCACGAGTTTGCTCCCTGCCCAGGAAGGAGACCCACATGGCACAGCAGACCTCTCCTGTTTCGCCCTCTGCTCCCTGCTCTGTCTCTGGTGAGCCTCTCACCCTCCACACCTAGCCTATTCCCCAGTCTGTATGCATAAATAAATCTTTAAAGAAAAAAGGAATTTGTTATAGTCAAAATAGGCCCAAGGACTGCAAGATACAGTTGGTAGTGTATGTAATGCTGTTTATATTAAATGTCACAAAAGTGACTACTTGGTATTTTGACCTTAGTGATTCACTAAAACACCGCTTTTGTTTAACTGTGATGTTTATGACATTATTTAGGTCCTTTGATCAGGAGTGTAATCTACCACCATGATTTCCTTTAATGGGAAAACCACATATGGCTGGTGTAATAATTTTGCCTGTTCAAGGAATGCAGCTGAAAAAATGAGACAAAGATGAGTGCCCAACACGATGAGAGTATGAGTATGCCTGCTCACATGCCATGCTGTGAATATAGTGGAATAATTAATCCTGTGGGCAGGGTTTTACACAGTATGGTTCCAGTCAGGTGTACAGGTG